ATTGAGGTTACATCCACTGGAATCAAATACTCTTTAATAATGTACATTGTTTTCTTCCTCTCAAGAATAAATGACTGAATTATCCAGAGTTGATTTCCATCCTTTGCCCAGTTATTTTAATCTGGCCTCCAGAATGGAGTGTTATGTCCAATTCAAATAATTAAGTCTGAACATTATTTGGTTTTTCTAGTGAAACAGGAAATCAAAATAACTTTCTCCCCTCTAGCCTTTATTTATGGATCAAGTTTTTTTTTCCTATTATCTTCATAAGGTCATTTATTTAACAAGTAGTTCTTTGAAGCTGAATGCATGTTTGGACAAAAGCCAGGAGCTGAGAATTGATGGCAAGCAAAAAACAAAGTAAAATGATTCCTTCTCTAGACAAGTTTAAAACAGAAAAGAGCAAGCAAACACATCAGAGGCTCTTGGAAAGCTAATGTGAGTCTGTAACTGTGACCCAGGCTAGCAATGAAGAACACAAGGTGAGAGGAGACCATGAGAAGTGAATGAGATTCAGAGAGCTACAGGAGGATGTCACGGAGAAAGATGTCGGGCTGACATCTAAAGAATAAGACAAACTTCAAGTAAAGATAACTGCACCAAGATTCTGTAGGATGGCATTTAGAAAAACTGTAAGCTCATTGTGCCTGATAACAGAAGAAATATTTAGAATGAATTTTCCACTTTTATAAATGCTATTGGGAAGCTGAATAATACTAGGAAAAAACTTATTAGAACAACGGTCAAACGGAGTGACTGGAAAGGATTTCAGGGTGAGATGTAGCTTAGAAAACAGAGCAACGAAGATCAAGAGTGCTTTTAGCTGCAACAGGGCAAGAGTGAAATATGAACATGTTTTCAAAAGTGGCACTCATCAAGAAGATAGTCAAAGACAAATAAAACCAGATTACTGATGCATTTGCACCCCACATATGTAGAACTTCAAGTTGTCTTACAGAGGAAAATAAAGCCTTTTAAAAATACCCATTGCATTTCCCTAAGTTGAAATGTAGGTTGTTTTACGATAACTGATGGAACTAGACACTGAAATGAATGACCAAAATGGTTACAGATATTTATGAGGGATTTTCGGCTGAATTAAAAATTTGTGTTAAATTATACATTACGTTCGGTTATCTCTGCTGAGGAGAAAGGGTGCACACAGTATTCTTTCACTCAGTACCAAAGGCCATCTGCATGTGATGAAGAGACTGTTTTATGAACTGGACGTTGGATTCTAGACAACTGGGTGCAGGATGAACTGCAACTCTCCTAGCAACTTGCCTGAATCTTGTTAAGTCACAATTGAACACTAAGGAAAAATACTGTCCCAGAAATCAATTCACTATTTGCTTTGTATTGTATCTCTGAAATGCAATATTTGTAGGTAGGAAAACAAAGCTTGGAATGCTCTGAGCTGAATGCAACACCTTTAGAAGAAGTAATGCTATGAGAAGTACATAATTTGCTAGCTTATTTTGTTCACTGTATAATTTTTTGTTCTAATATTGTTTGTCCTGTGTAAAATGTTTCTAGCAACACTGAGCACTCATTTTGTAAATAGTCTAGAATGGGGCCACAACAGAGTTATTTTGTAGATACCCGTTTGTTTTCCATTACTGGCCCTGTGTCAGCAGTATTTGTTTTATTTTGATTAATCAGGCAATTTGCCTCTGCATTTCACATGTTCTTGGCTGTCAATTCTCTCAAGAAAAGGTTTATTTATTAAACAACTTTTACATACCTTCTGGAAGACGCTAAACTACAGAAATGACACATTTTGCTCTCAGTTTACAAAATGATAGCACTGTGTGTATAAGATGGTAGGCACCTAAAAATATGCAGTAAAGAATCCTTCAGTTAGCCATAGGAAAGCAAAGAAAGGAAAGAAGGGGCAAATGGAGAGGAAGAAAGGGAAAAAGGATGGGAGGAAAAAAATAAAGAAAATCAAAGCCTCTAAGTTCAAATGTTTAGTTTACTAGATAGTTAATCCCTAACACTCCCCTCTCCCTTGCCCAGAAAAAAAGAAATTCTGTAGTCATATATGCAGAATAAAGGTGGAGTTTCAGAAGAAGAAAGAATTTAATCAATGCCAGAATTCTGTCCATGTTAGTTACCTCTCTAGTTGAAATGCTGTATCGCAAGGGTCATGTGCAAGAACCACAGAAAAGCTGGTATATGGAGGCATAGGACCAAAAAGTGTACATAAGGCGGATCATGTAAATGAGCCCAAATTATGCTTAAGAAACAAAACATTTTGATTAAATTTTTTATATACGATCATTTTTTTTACCCATCTGTAATTACAAGACAAATTCTTTATTCAATTATACCTAGAGGTAACATCTTGAAAAATGGTGTCACATTCATGATACTAATACCGTCAAGATAGAAAGCATTTCTATTTCCAGGAATAGAACAACCAAAGAGCAAAGCAAGACAGTGGACCCAAGAAGGATTCAGGGACTGGGGTTGCTCTTTTTATTTCAAAACACTGTCCTGAGAAATGGTTCAGAATCCCAAAGGCAAGACATTAATTTCTGCACAGAGGAGGAGAACATTAAGTTCCCCACAATTGTGAGTAGGAATTTTATGATATGACAATACGTAAAAGCTGAGTCCTCAGAGACAGTAAAAATCAACTTAGTTACGAAAGAGAGCAAATGTTACACTTGGCAAAAGAAAACAGCAGGAACAATAGCAAAAAGTGTTTGCAGCCCAAAGGAGGATTACAGAAAGGAAGTGGTGAACAACGCTGACTGTCACTAAGAGAAGGTAAGAGCAGCCGACAGAGGGGCTTTGGATGCTATCCCTTATGAAGTCACCAGTGATGTGTGTCGTGGCAGTGTTAACGAAGTGATACATGCAGAAATCGCAAGAAAGGGGGATGAAGAGCTACCAGAAGAAAACACATTTTAAACAGTATGCTCAGAACATATTTTTCAAGGGGTTTAGTCTAGAAAAAAATGTATCTGGAATTTGACAAACATCGACAATACATTCTTTTGTGATCAAACAGAATTAAGAACATTTAAATATTACAGAAAGGAAATCAGAGTATGGAGGCAAGGCTTAAAAGTGTATCCTACACCATTCTCAATAATTATAAGCACATTATTCCAGTACAAACATCGAAACCCCACAAACCATTTATATTTTGCATGAACCTGAGAAACAGTAAAAGTCCAATCACAATCAATTCCAAGAGCAATCTAATACTTATACTATAAATACTTGCAACAGTAACTTTGCTTTGTCACATTTATAGAAGTAATATCACAATTCAATGTAAATATTTGATGTTACAGTTTACATCAAGAGGAATGATTACTTTAATAAAAGATAATTGTTCTGTTGTAAGTACTACAGTATGAAACACATTTGTCAAGATTATTGCATGTTGTAATTATTACCAAAACCAAGTTCATGTCAAATTGGCAAGATACAAAAGCATAAATAAAAAAGTGAAATCATGTGTTTGATTTAATAATTGCATCACAATCTTATGCAATATCTTTTCACATTATGTGGCAGAAAACCACATTTTAAAACATTTATTTGGGGCACAGCCCGATGGTCTAGTGGCTAAGTCCTTGCCTTGCATCACCGGAATCCTGTCTGGGCACCAGTTCATGTCCTGGCTGCACTACTTCTCATATTGCTCCCTGTTAGTGGCCTGGGAAAGCAGCAAAGAATGACCCAAATAAAGCCTTGAAACTCTGCACCCACGTGGGAGACTCAGAAGAAGAGTCTGACTTTGGATTGGCTCAGTTGTGTCTACTTGGGAAATGAACCAGTGAGTGGAAGGTCTTTCTGTCTCTACTTTTCTCTGTAGATCTGACTGTCTAACAAACATAAATCTTTTCTCTAAGTTTTTTTAGAAATCGTTTTTTAAAAGATTTGAAAGGCAGTAAGAGAAAGAGTATGAATATAAATGACATCTACCACTTATGTTTCATTTCTTCAATGTTTGCAACAGGGATGCCTGGGCAGGCTATAGCCTGGAGGCAGTAATTCCATATTGGTCTCTCAAATGGGTGGAAAAGGCCCAAGTTTTTAGACCTTCTTCTGTTGCTTTTCCAGGCATTTTATTAAGGAGCTGAATCAAGAAGCAAAGCTGGTTAGACTTGATCTAGAACTCCAAAATGAGATCCTGGTGTCATAAGCAGTACATTAACCTGCTGAGTCATAAGGTTAGCCCAGACAGCACTGAAAACCAAAAGGGCATATCTGTTGGAGCGTAACAGGTGATGTATCTTTTGGGGGCACTTTTATTTTATTCCAAATAGAAAAATATGACTTTTGTGCTTTACTCTCTTGTTAACTTTGTCCCAAAATGTTTTCAGATGACATTGAATAATAAAATAGTTCACTATCAAATCTGTTATTGCTCCAACACTGTAATTCCCTATAATTTGTTGGATACAATTTCTAAGTCTTCATATAAGTGTTGAAATTAAACAGAATAAGCCAGATAAGGACAATTTTTAATGAACATGTAGATATCTTACACTGGAGTAAAATTAGTGCATGCATTGCAATGTTAAAGCCATTGTATAGCCAGCTACAAAACAGGTCAGTCTATTTCTCTTCACTATACAATGAAGCTCTTATCAGAAATCATTTAACTAAGACTGTAATATCATATCTTTGCAAATCCCTAATGCAAACACACACAAATCCATGTGTTGCATTTTAAAATAAATAAGTTTTATAATAGTTCCTAGAAATCCATGAAGGATAGACATCCAGTCTGTTACATTCTTCGGAGTTTAACTTTTTACTTACTGTGCTCTTCAGTTTGAAGTAACTTTTGTTTCTTAAGTACCTCTCACTTCAACTCATATTTGTGACTCAAAGAATATTTTAATAAACAGGTTTCATGTCCACAGCCAAGTTTTCTGTTTCCCCTCAAGATTACTTCTCAAAAACTTTCAAAAAAAAAACCAAATATATATGCAAACACATATATATTTATGTATATGTAAAACGTGTATTACCTCATATAAAACTGTTGTGTTCCCATGTAGAAGAGGTCCATAACAGATATAGGAATGTCCAACAACCCAGCCTAAGTCAGAGGCTGCCCACCACACCTAGGAAATAAGGAGATGACAAAATGAATATATTTTTGTAGGACTTATTTGTATATATATTTGAGTGGCAGAGGTGCAAAGAGTCAGTGTCGGGGTGTGTGTGTGTGTGTGTGTGTGTGTGTGTGTGTGTGTGTGTGTGAGAGAGAGAGAGAGAGAGAGAGAGAGAGAGAGAGAGAAAGAGAGAAAGAGAGAAAGAGAGAAAGAGAGAAAGAGAGAGAGAGACTGACTGACTAACTTCAGTTTGTTGGTTCACTCCCAAATGCTCACTACACCCAGGACTGTTCAAGGCTGAAAGTAGAAGCTACAATTTACACTGGATCTCAAAATACCTAAACCATCATCTGCTGCCTCCCAATAGTATTAGCTGGAAGCTGGATCAGAAGCAGAGGGGGGAACAGGGCATCACAAGTGACAGCTGAGCCCCAAACAGGCATGGAGCTTAACCTGAGAAATCAGGTGATTTAAGTTCAAAATCATGATTACCTCTCCAGGTTTCAGTCCGTATATCGAAGACATTGACCAGTTTAGCATTACAGCATATCCCCCTGTAGGCCTAACTACACCCTAAGAGAGAAAAGGTAAATTTGTCAATTAATAAACAATACATTAGGTGATCATCAATCTTCATTGTACTCTAGCAGCTCCCGACCTCAGAGGCTTTATATTTCATAATACACAAATTACTTTGACTTTTGTGTTATTAAATCATTATTGCATCCTCCAATAATTAACAGAAAATCATTTAGTGTCATTCTCATACTCTTTACCTTTTAAATACATGTACAAAATCGCACAATATTTTTCCAATGATGGCACACAGGATCAATATGTATTTTCAGAATAAAAATGGGAACTTTTAAAAGAGCGCAGAAGTGTAAAATATGATTATGTTCCAAAAATACATACTAACATGTAAACGTCAATTCCATTAAATTATAAGGAACAGTGTACAGCAATTACAGGAACTTGAGTCATATTCTAACAGTAGTCCCACTGCAAGTTTACGCCACAGATCCTAGGAGCACAGTGTATTAGGCTTGGCCAGTACTTCACTGATGAATTCTACTAGAAATATGTAGCAGGATTAAAGCCTAACTGATTTGCTCACATTGTATCTTGCACAAACAATAGGCATGCTTACATTATTGCCTTATCACTTTCGCAAATCACCTTCAGATATCTTTCCCCAACACTGTGAAAATATTCAACTTCAATATATGAGATTAATATTTGAACACTGAGAATGAGGTATTGTAAGAACTAGTGATAAATGTAATACATTCTTTTTCAGCTGTGTGTATTAATCATAATTTGCTCAATAAGATATGGTACTAAAAAATCAATTGTGTAGGTGAATATCTGTTAAATACAAGTTATATCCCATCCTCGGGCATTTTAAAGGATCTTTTAAAGCATTAATTAGATGTTCTATGCAAAAGATAATTGTTTTATATAAAAAGACAAACACGGTCCAAATTAATAAATGTGCTATCAAACACATGAATCAGGAGAATGAAAAAGAAATTGACTGTTACTAAACTTGCTGTGCTCCTCAGGTATTGCTAATAAAACATAAGTATCAAGCTGGGGAACATATTTTATCCACCAGCGACAACATCTGGTCTCTTGGCAAATATTAGATCCAGCTTTGATGGCATCTGAAAGCTATTTTCTGTGTTGCATGACATGCTTAACATGCAACTGGCTCTTTTGATCACCTTGGGAATAAGAACAATCCAAAGCCCCCTGCAGATGAGGTTCACAGATTCAACTGGCTACATACTCTGAGTGGCTACGTGCCCCAGTGTGTTCCATTCCATTGTTCAAGAACCCAGCTAACCAGTTTGTTCTGTGGGGGTCTTTTCCCAGGACTCAACATCTTGGTAAATTTGCTAGCAATCATTTACAATCCTCTTTCCTAAAAATGCTTTATTTTTAGGAAAAGTGGTGTTTTCTTTATAAATAATACACAGTACATGTGGTTATGACAGTAAAGCTTAATGTCAGTAATGATTTTACTTAAGATGTTTAAGAATTCTCTGTCCCAATCTGTCTTTGAATTTCAATTTTATTATTATTATCAATAACTATTCTATACTGGAGTGAAAATTCAGATTATAGAAGCTAGAATTCACAGACTTGAAATGCCAAAAAAAAGGGGGGGGGTAGGAAAAGCTTAAGCAGTCACAACTGAGCTGTAATTTGATTATACAAGCCCGAAAGATCGATTTAAACGACAGACTAACAAACTTCAATACATCTGTCACATGCATATTTCTTCAAAATATTTAGCAATGTTTCATTTTCTGTAAATTGATGGATGCTTAAACCCATCACATAAAAATTCTGATTTGCAGTGAAATGTAGAATGCATGAAAAAGCATTTTTTAAAATGTAAAGGCTAGAATTTCTTAGTGAAGATCTTATTTCTTAGTTTTAATGATATTTTTTATTCTATCCTGCAACTATATTACCCAAAAAGCAGAAAGGTCAAAATAATTAGAGGTTGTCATCAATGATTCCCATCAAAAACAGTTAAAATGCTGCTAAGGAAGAAAAATGCCATTATTTATTTTTCTTTGAGCCTTGCCAACCAGTCATCATTAATTTGTTAATGGATAAATATAAAAATTTCAGTCAAACATCAATCTTCTACTCAAATCAGAAACCCATCTTGAATACTTTCCCAAAGTTTTCAACATTACGCTTTTCAAGTTTTTGAGTTTCTGACATGGTATAGAATAAAACTGCATGCTTTTACGTTGTGCTACCAGATATTTCATGACAAGTTTCAATGCTAAAAAAGTAAATATATGTTTTGAAAATATTTGTTATTATAAATTATTGTAACTAAAACACCATGTTTATTTCTTCTTTACAGCCATATGTTCCAGATAAATAAAATACAAAACTAATCATGTTCAGGTTCTGAAAGCATAAACTTAGTTCTCAAAAATGCAAGTCATCATATCCTAAGTAAAATAAATCAGAAACTAAATGCAGAATTTAAAGATTCTAGCTGAAATATTGTATGAGGCAAAAACACTTACTAGAAAACACTTTAGTCATTAAATCTCTATATTACTTTGTGTGTGCAATTGAATTCTACCTACCTTAAAAGTAAAGGAATCACATGTTAAAACTCATTCTCTCACTCTCGACATACACACACACACACATCCATAACATAGCAGTTATAGATATAGATACGGATATATAGATACAGATATTGATACGCTGTTCCAGGATTTTAGGTAAGATCAATCACAAATCTGCAATGTCTCCTGGAGAATTTGAAAATCTACGGATCAGAATAACATTCTATGCAACAAAAACAGACATGAGAATGATCTCTGCCCCACAAATAAAATAAATTCTAATACATGTAGTATTTTAAAAACAATCTATACAAGCAAACTAAAGCGTAGTTATTTGTCTCCCAAGAAAATAAACATGGCAATATCAATTGTATGAAGGCATGCTACTATAATAAAAAGAAATGATAGCCATTACAGAGGAAGAAGGACTGAAGTGTGTGGTGAAATTAGAGGTGTGAGATGCCTCAATGTAAAATTGCGTGTGTCTGTCTGTGTGTGTGTGTGTTTGCACTGAATGATTATAAAACCTGAATGGCAAATCTCAATATTGAGGCAAGAAAAATTTGGAGCACATGACAAAACTATGCCTTCTAAAAATGAGTCTTAGCATATTCTGTTTAACAAAGGCTTTTAAAAAAAGCAAGCACAAACACAAAAAAGAAATGTGAACTACATGTTGAAATTGAGCAAAAATATAATATGAAATTATGATTGGCACCAGAGACAGGAAATAATTTTGATTTCCTTTAAATACACGTATATATTATATATATATATACACACATATATATATCAAAAATAACCTTGTTCCTGTGGCTTTGCAAGTGGCATCCCCACTCTCCAGCATGTGCTCCTCAATCTGATTAGCTCCAACATTTTCACACAAATGCCTGATTTTGTGGAAGTTCTACCTCCTCCAGAAAACTGCCCCCTCTTAGTGGTTGTGTGAAATGTCTCTCAGTCCTCTTCTGTTGTCTTTGGTGCAACAAACCTCATCAGATAACTGGCATCGCCAGCCAGTGGTGCACCTTCTCCAGGGCTGAGGGCTGGGCTTCCTCCAGTACTTAGTGCTGGAACAAAAGCACAGTTCCCAGGATAGAATGCTTATTATGTTTGTTGGGGGCACAAAGTGGCCAATGGCCTTCAGAAGATACCCATATTTTTATCATGACCACTGTGATAAGCTATGACTCACATCAGTCTCCTGGGTCCTCCACCCTGGTACAAGGTCAACATTCCCATACAGGCAACCCTTGCATTATGCAAATGATGGGCTCTCCTCCTCCTCCTCTTAGGATGATGTCAGTGGGTCCTGTTCCTAGAATACAGCTACTCATAGGGGGCTAGATGCCAATGACACAGGGTACCCAATGATGAGACCTTCTGCCTATCCCACGATGGCTCCCACTTCTCCAGGAATGGCTCAGCGGGAGACAGAAAGGCCTCTTCATAGCCCACATCACTTGGTATGTTTCACCAGGAGATCCTGGTGTTGTGACTCCAGGCATGGAGTCCAGCATGACTCCAGCATGACCAAGAGGGCTTACAACCCTATCCTAGCAAAGGAACAATATTGGAGGAAGAAGTGAAAATCTCTGACAGCGCAGTTTCCATTTGTATTGCAAAATGTGAAAAATGATCAACTCTTAATTTTAAAAAATAACATGCTTGTTGACTAGATGAGAGAACAGTTAAGTGAATGATCACATACACAAACAGTTCCTTTTAAAATACATTCTGCTTTCTTCAAAAGAAATCCTTGAAACTTATAGAACTTTAGGACTCACTCCTTAAGAAACAGCATTTTTTAAAAAAGATATTTCAAACATAGTTTTTCCTAGGTGATTTGGAAACTATCTCAATGGAAGATATTTTGCTGGCTGTACAGTTTTATTGACCTAAACAACTATGAGATTTGGGGCAAAGGTATAACAAGTCTAGCATTTAACCACCAGAGTTGTAACAAAGATAAAAAATATATAGTGTGACTTTTTCCACGTTATTTCTCTCATTTTTTCTAGTGCAAACAGTACATATAAATTACCAGGTAAATCAGAATAAAAGTTGTCCCAAATACGAAATGTATCTCAGGATGCAAGGCCTTATCAGTCACCTTCCTAACATGGCCCCTTGTCAATCCATTCCTTTCAGCTTCCTTTCCCTTTTTCTTCCCTGCTGTTGCCTTTTCAGTATCACTGTTCTTTCATGATATAAAAAATAGAATAAAATACAACCGTCACTACATCACCTCCCCACCAAAAATATCTATGTTATCTTGTATTGTTTTTCAACTATTGTTGAATACAGGACCCAATCACACAGGATAGAGGGCAAAATAGAAACATGGCAAGCCATTCACCTCCTGTGGCTGAAAGATTTACAACAGTTAACAAATTAACCTATCACATGGCAACCAGAAAACATCAGGGCTGGTCGATGTACAGATGTAAATATGCCCTAAATATATTCATGAATTCTAACCAAAAAACAGATTACTTTTTGTGTATCCTCCATGTGCCAACAACAAATAAAAATTTTAACAGTATCAAATGAGTTCACATTATTTTCAAGTAAAGATTAATATCAAGAAAACTAAGTACATGACAACATGCAATTTAAAGCATAATATTGCATTAATGTATGTGTGCTCATTTTTTTTTATTTACATTGATTCTGGAGATACCAACAAAATGTCAGATTCCATTAAAGCTCTTTATACTCATCTTAACAGAATAAAGAAGAGTCTAAGGAACTCAGAGGAGCCTGAGACACTGACTGGAGACCCAAGGGACCATTGAAAAGTCTGAGGTCTCACCAAGGCCAAATGTTAACACTGATGCCACAGCACAAACTAGGAGGTCAATTCTGAGTCCTTAGAAAAAGCACAATGGTATGAATATAACCAAAACTATTATGTACAGAATAAATTTAAGTAATGGTATAAAAGTTCATTGGTAAAATACAAATTCAAAATAGCTGCAGTTCTAAAGTCTATTGGAGGGAAAAGAGAAGTATTTTGATGGATACTGCAAGACGACTGTGTTATTTTGTCATTCTGCATACCCTGCACTCCATGAATGGATTAGCACAAAAGTCTATCTCCTCCACTCTGTTTATCTCACTTTCCAATAAAAATAAATCTTAAGTCTATGATCTGCCCAGAGGAGTTCCTGCGCTCCATCTTTCAACTACTGACTGAGCACCTCCATGTTAGTGCTTCCACAAAAAGACAGGTCAGAGACAATACAGAGTATCTTCATGTAGCTCATAGAAAAGTATGTGTGGATTCCAGAGCTCTTTTACACACAAATACTTCCATTTTACTAGGACTGTTTTGAAATACTCTTTATTTTCAAGATCCTCCAACTTCCTCCGCCCCAAATCATTCTCCTGTATTTTTAGTTCAGTCCCTCTTCAAATCACCATCCTACATTCTCAAGTGGAAAGCCTTGGTTTCTTCCTCTGCCTCACTTGTCCACTTGAACCATATTGGATTTCTCCCCACAAAGTGTGCTATGCTAAGAAAATTCCTAAACATCCTGAAAAGGGTTCCAGTAAGTGGATGACAATTCGCTCTATCTCACCTGAGCTCACAGATATCTGACCACATCAGACTAGAGGCAGCATGGTGTTCAACCTTCATTTTAACTGTTCTAGGACACACTGAACATTCGGTACACATGGGATCAAACTAAGCAGGAACACAAAAATGTTCAGCTAAAGTAGTCTCCTATTTTTAAAACAAATTATATTTTGGGTGATACTTCACGCAGAAAAATGAAGGTAATAGAAACTTCAAGGATCTTCATTTGAATGCTGAAACAAATTCAGAAAAGCATTTCCTGACCCAGAGAAATCTGGGATAGCTCCCGTTTGTCAACATAATGCTCTGCATATTTTTATTTCTACCTCAACTGGATGATTCTGCTTTGAATTTCTTACAAGCTCTTCTCCCATACAGATCTTAACCCAGGTCGCAGTCAATTTTAGAGTAATTTAAAGTCTTTTAGGTGTTACAAGTGGTTTTAAGACTCCTTTGAGTTTTAAGCAGTTAAAATGGTTGGTGGGATTTTTAGTTTGTTTTATTTCATTAGGTCATACTGTCTCCAGTTGATGTGTTTTATATTAGATTATAACTTTGCTGAGTGTCTAGTTTGATAGGCAATGCTCAGATGGCCTCGTGTGGCTGATATACAATTCAGAATTACAAAAGGGAGAGTCTACACTTAGGAATAGCAGATCATTTGAACTCCTCACATACATGTGAGCCATAAATGTGAAGGAATGCTTATTTTTTCAAATAAAAAATCATATCTCCAATTCACATTTATACATATATACATTTTCTATGTATTCAATAAAACATTATTTGGTGCTCATGTTATATACAATATGGTGGTAGACCAAAACAGTAAGCCATAGTCTCTTCCTACAGTGAGAATATTTTCCACCACCAAATGTGTTCCAATCCACAGGCAAATTTCTTTAGAAGTGTCTTAAATTTCTTTCTTACGAACTTATTAAAAGAGCCCATCACTTTGAGATTACGAGTGTTTTCAAAACTCCATTGGAACAGATAATTTATAGTAATAGAGAGGTCTTTAATAATGCAAATAATCATCAAAGTCCATTCCTGCACTAAAATCCTATGGCAGTACTTTTATAATATTGAACTCTCTAATAAAGATGAATAAGGAAGATAATGTAAGTTCTAATGAAGCTGGATGAAGAAATGCTGGTATCTGGAGATACCAGGAAGTAGTACTTGCCAAGCACTGACACATCTATTAACACTGGTGCTTTTAACCTTGCTTTGTGAAAACACCTTTCACGGTAAACAGATTTGAAGCTGTCTGAATATCTTCCGTGCCGTAAATCAAACAGGTCAACACTGGGGATAAACAGCTTCTTGCTTACAATGACTAGGCCACTTCTCAAATGCGCATTTATAATAAAGAACTGAATTACCCCAAATGAAAAAATCAATTCCATACTATATAAAAACTGTATATCAATTTAAAAGTGAAAATACTTCATTGAAAATATACAATTTTATTAAGCCACATAATATTTAATCCAGTGTGCATTAAATCAGCAGCCTACTAAAACAATAGTGCACTGTTGGTTTTTTAGGATGATTTTGGAATAAATAAGGGAAAAATATTTGACCTTGAAGTTAGTGGACATTTTCTATATTTAAAATTAAACATATTTTAAGCTGCTAAAGAACTACATATAAACTTCAATATGCAATCTGTAAATGCTTTCAGTTACCAATCAAATATTCTTGGTGCTAAAGGAAATGTGCTGTTATAGTTAACATCCCTAAGGAAATGAATACCTTAGGCAATCCTGTGGTTCCAGACGTATAAAGAATATAGAGTGGATGTTCTGAATGAACAGGAACACAATCATGTGGTTGGGCTTTTGCCATCTCTTCATCCCAATCAAGATCTCGACCTGGTACCAAAGGAACCGTCTCCTACAGAGCAGAAACACAGGCAAATGCATTTGTAACAGAGAATATTAAAATAAGGTAACAAAGAATTAGCTAAATCTATGTAAGTCTGAGCATCTGATGAAAAATCTAATTCTGTACATCATAATGTATTAGACTTGGGTTTAAAAAGCTCAATGTTGCCAGTTGAAATATGTTTAAAATGTGCAGCAGATTGATACTACTTTAAAAACAAAAAGACATACTTTACTTAAATCTAAGATACTTTTACAAATTCACTGATGCAACCCTTTTCGTCAACACTCTGACACTGGGCCAAATTCATGTCTCCAAAATATAAGTATCAATTTCTAAATTTTATAACCTAATTCTTTTATGTTTGAAATGCCTTATTAATGAAATGTCAAGTAACTCTTAAAATTTCTCTTTATATAAAAGGCATTTAAAACTACCTATCTAAATAAGGTAATACCAAATTTTGTTAAAGAGTAATAGAGATTTGCATTTTGTGTGTTCAAGACAAATGCTGGCTTTAGAAACAAAAAGTTATAGCAGGCTATCCAAGTATTCCTCTATCGAGGTTTCTAATCAGTGTGGCAGAAGTATTTGCTTTCCTGGTAGTCAGTCACTCTATTGTAAACTTTTTCCTAATAAGGTCATTAAAAAACAGATATAATTTTGAAGAAATTAAGTAGATTTATTTTAAAATGTGGCAATAAGATGGCAAGATAGTTAAAAAGGGGTGACTTTGACAAACACTATTCTTATTGGGAGTTAGGGCTATGTAAGGAGATTAACTATCTCTCAAATGTCTGGTTTTTCTGAACCATTAACTACACACAAAATCACATCTTGGGAACTTTATAACTGATGAACATGAACTGGGACCACGTTGTCCCAGGCACAAATAACATGGTGGTTGCTCAGTGAGATTCTCTACTTAGACATACTGTTCATTTCTTCAATCTCTGAGCTAAACCCAAAGAATTCCATTCTCTTGGTTCCTTAATGTACTATTCAGGGTTATGAGAATTGGTCCTGTATCTGATCAGGTAAATGTAGAAACTGATTCCTACAATACTACAAATATACTCTCTGTAAGAATAAATGCATTTATAGATAATCTGAGTCATAGGTCCTATAAAGTCACCATGTCTGACTCATCCAACTGATAGCTCCTCATTGAACCATTCAGACATATAAAAAGTTACCTATTATCACACCATACATTTAGCTTTATGCATCAGATAATGAACAATTTGAAATTTTAAACATCTGACATTACAATCAGAAACCTACAAAAAATGTTACAGAGTGAAACATGGTGACTAAATGATCACAAGAATATTATTATTTGGGCTGACACATGGTTCGATTGGCTAACCTTCCACCTTCAAATGCCAGCATCCCATATGGGCACTGGTTCATGTCCTGGCTGCTCCATTTCCCTTCCTGCTCCCTGCTTATGGCCTGGGAAAGAAGCAGAGGATGGTCCAAAGCCTTGGAACCCTGCACCTGTGTGGGAGACACCCAGAAGTAGCTCCTGCTCCAGATTAGCCCAACTCCAGGCATTGCAATCATTTGGGAAGTGAAACAGTGGATGGAATATCTTTCTCTGTCTCTCCTCTTTGTAAATCTACCTTTCCAATGAAAGTAAATTAATCTTTTCAAAAATAGTTATAAATGTATGACTTTTATAGGTCCCCAACTGCTGGAATGTCTATTCTTCAAGATCAAGAGATACAGGTGAATATAAAGGAGATTTGACAAAAATCAAGGCCATAAAATCAACATTGAACGTTTGCAGATTCGCCTTTACTTCTGTGGACATGTCTTTTCTAATTGCTATGATTCTTGAAAGGCAATATGGGAGAACAGGCAGGATGACTGATGGGATGTTCCTTTGATTCTGTCATTGCTGCCTGAGGCTCAAGCACAGCAGCCAAGTTTTCATTCCCCTGGCAAAAAAATGCAATCCTGGTTAATGAGACTCACTATCCTGCTTCATAATGTGTGTCTCTAAATTCAAAGCAATTACGGTCTATTGGGCTTAATTACTGCCTAAACAGTACATCTCATAAAGGGCAAGAGTCCCTCAAAGCCTTTATCGCTATAAAAATAGAGGAAAGGGTTCGGAGAAAAAGAGGAGAGAACATGAGCTGTTTATGGGGAAAGTGAGGCAACATATCTCTATTAAGAAGAAAAGATGGCTGCACTAGAAAAATCTGAATAACCATGTTCAATGTGTTAAATGTGCAAAGAAATAGTACATTCAGCACTGATTACCAAAAAAAGTCAAACCAGAATTCAAATCTTTTCTCAAAGTTCACAGGTTTGTGAGACTCAATTAAGAAAAATAATTTGTACTTAGAATTGGGCCATAAAGCCATACATGTGAATGGATAATATACATGATCCTTTGTTCACATAAATACACTCATCTAGCCTTTCTATTACCATTTCTGTTATTATTCCTCCATCCTTTCTATCCATTTTTCATTCCTTTACTTAAATACCAACAAAAACTTTTTTCAAAATATGCTCCACAAAATGGTCCCAACTGAAGACCATTATGCTTAGTGAAACAAACCAATGCAAACAGGATGAATACCATATGTTCCGTCTGATATAAGACAGCCTTTAAGCAAATTACAAATTAAATAGAAATAGGCAATCAAGTATATACACATGCACTTACGTATGAATGGTGCAGAGACCAGCACACTGGGAAGTAAAGTTACGTTGCAGTAGGCATCTCTACTCCTGAACAGTAGGACTCCCATTGTGACACGTGTGAACATGCCTGTACAACATGATACTACCTTTTCCATCTCTACCTACATGTCACAATACACTTAAGTAGCAGAAAACTAACCTTGTAACTGTTACTACAGGACTATCCTACTGTAACAATTAAGGGAACAATGGGAGGGGGATAAAGGGGAGGAAGGAGAAGGCGGGGAGGGAAGAACTCATGGTTCTACAAAACTGTAAAAACTTAAAAGTATTTTTTAAAATATACTCAAGACCACTCAAAAAAATTAAAACAATTAGGAACACCAAAATCAATGAGTGCAGCAGGTCATGAAGCAGACTTTTAAAGCTTTATTTAGGAATTTAAACTAGTATTAGGAATTGCTAATTGGTGATCAAAATGACATCCTTTTAACATTCTCTTTTCACATCCTGTCATTTGTGGGTCTCCTTAAGGTAACCTTTCATCAGTTCTATAAAACTGCATGTAATTTTTCGCACTCCCATGAGTTCTCTTCTGCAAGATATTTTAATCTTTCAGAAATCCAAGTTGGTGCCACTATAAATACCTGGTGATTAAATGCATTGTAAAATATATTCATAGACATTATATTAATATCACAGACTAATTCATCTGTTTATTATATTCATCTTTCCGAATTCAATTCTACTTCTGATTTGAATATTTTCCTAATTTTTTTATATTTGCATACAATTTAATTCATCCTTCCAAGAAGCAATTAGGAAAGGGATTATGTATACAGTCAGATGGCATGTGTTCAAACCATGCCTCTGGGTAATTACTGTAAATAACTTTATTTCTATGTCTATTAACTCCATTTCATTAAGATGGAAATAATGATATCTCCTAGCCCATAGAATTACTGGAAAGATTTAAAAATCAATTAATATGGATCTCTTAAAAAACCAAATGATAAGCAATCAATTTAGTTTGGGCAAGTATTATTGGTATAACTGAAAAGAGTAACATATAATAGCATTAAACCAAAACCTAATTATTTAATACTAATCATAGTATGGTGTTTTAAATCTTTTTATAGTTTAAGCTAATTGTTCATAGAGACTGCAGATATAATTTGCATTTTTCTTAGAAATCATAATGGCATTTATGAAGTACATGTTATGGCTTACTACTGAGTATCTCTAGTAAACAGTGAAAATTGAATTCTCTAGCACATTACCATAAGAATTAAATTCAGTATTCAATTTACCATATTTGGACGGTTATAAATGAGAACTTTGTCCGGTTTGTGATGTCCTATTCGTAGAGCTTCCTCTATAAGTGGTATATATTCTACCCGCCTTCCAGGTTCAATACCAAATGATGCTGTAATCACTATTTTGGGCTACAATGAAAAAAAAAAAGATGAGAATCCTTTAATAATTCTAATTAAGACATCACAACAGTTCAGAGGTAGACTGACTACTCATCGGTTCTAAAGAAACATTTGAATGATTCTGTTCCCTATTGAGCAAAAGGTCTGAAAACCAGCAAGCCCTCTTTCAATGTTATAGGCCCAACAAGTTCCACACAATCTCACTTACTTACTCAAAACTAGCCAAGATTCTGAAGGCCTATACACATGAGATAAACAAAATATGCTTCAAATAATTCATTTCAGATGGATCTTCCAGAAATTATGAAATGCAAACTTCAGTTGGTCTCCACCCCTTGCGCTGCAGCACGCTGTAGCGAGCCAGCTCCGTTAGTCACCAAGAACATCTATGATTTTCTACATTAAGTATCTCTTCTAAATACCTAAAGAGATCGCAGAGCTTGTGTCTCAATTTTTAATGATTTTTCTAGTTCTCACTATGCATTCCTGTTTACCAAATGTTAAAATGTTGGATGATTTTTCTTAAAGGTCTCCTGAATTATTTAAAATCCCATCTCACAAAGCCTGGGTTGGCCTTTGCTTTTAAGCTCTACTTAGCACACGACTCACTAAACTCTTCAGGGTATTCTTAGGAGCAGCCAAACAGTGTCCCCAGGGAGGAGCCAGTCTGCACTGATGTTCCCTTCCCAGGACATTCTGCACATGCCTCAGCTGCTAAACCACCACCACACTTTCCATTCATCTGGTCCACTGTCAAATAAGCTTCCCAAAGACAAGATAGGATGGCTTTTATTCAGTGCCTATGCCTGGTGCAGCTTGTCCTACAAAAACAGCCATCCATAAATATTTGTGGAACTGAACCCAAATCCTTAATCATTTGTAGAAACACATATGTCTTGATTCATTTTTATATACTGTATTTCTTCCCTAAGAAATCCAAAGCAGAGAGTGATAATAAATAATTCAGGAGACAGATAATCAACCCAAGGTATTGCAGCTATTTCTGAATTCTGGTCTCTCGGGTTTATACTGTGCTAATGATATGCATGTATAGTACTTGCTGCTTTTGAATACTCAACATTCATGGAGCCGAGACCTGGTTTGCCCCAGGTTGGGAGTGACAGAGGCAGAAAAAGGGCCAATTCTGTTTGATTCCAAAGCATTTCCTCCATCACATCAAACTGATTTTTTAAAAAGTGAAAGAAAAGACAAAAATAAGTCTTGTTTCCTTTCATTATGTATTTTAAAGTTTATTGAAATAAAACTCATATTTTAGTATTTGTAGTAATTGTAAATAATTCCAGATAATAACCCCCAAGATCAAACAATAAATGAGTGAAAGCAAGCTAAACACCAAATTAAGAACATAGTATTATTTGTCGGGTTTGAATGTTTAGTAGTATCACCGTTAGAGCCTTCCATTGGAAAAAATAAATTCCTTTCACATTTGGCAACAGCCTTTTACATTTATTGGATTTAGAGGGTTTCTTACAATACAGTCTTTTCATCTTCATTTGTTCAAATTTTTCTTTAGTCTATTTAAGAGTCAATGTTCACTTACTGGTGGGGGTACACGCTGAGAAAGGCAACTTCACCACTTGAGAAATATCATTGACTATACTTTGCAAACTGAGACACCTACACCAACGTAGTATAGAATAGGTCCTCTGGCCCAGGGAATATTTGTCCAATCAGAGAATGGTCCAAAATCTTGGGACTCTGCACCCACGTGGGAGACCCAAAAGAATCTCCTGGCTTCAAATTAGCTCAGTTCCAGCCATTGTGGACATTTGGAAAGTGAACCAGCAGATGGAAGATATTTCTGTCTTCCTCTATGTAAATCTGCCTTCCCAACAAAAATAGATAATTTTTTTTATTGTTGTTAACATTGTATTATGTGATACAGTTTTATAAGCACTGGGGACTCCCCCCACCCCTCCTGTACCCCTCCCCCCATGGTGGATTCCTCCACCTTGTTGCATAACCACAGTTCAAATTCAGTTGAGATTCCTTCCTTGCAAACACATACCTAGCATAAAGTCCAGCATCTTATTGTCCAGATAAGTTCAGTGGCCTCTTGGGGAGACCTTCTCTAGTCTGAAGATATGCATGCCCTAATGATCAAAGATTCTTAGGTTTATCCATACATGAGATGTGTATCTTTAACAGAATACTCTCTCCTTACATTTGACCTGCCAGATTGCCTTCGCTGCAAGAATATGCATTTATTTTCTAGATTTCCTAACAAGGTTATGTGGTTTTTTAAAAGATTTATTTTTATTGGAAAGTCAGATATACAGAGAGGAGAGAGACAGGGAGATCTTCCACCTGCTGATTCACTCTCCAATTGGCTGCCATGGCTGGATCTGAGCCTATCTGAAGCCAAGAGCCAGGAGCCTCTTCTGGATCTCCAACAAGGGTGCAAGGTCCCAAGGCTTTGGGCCGTTTTCAACTGCTCTCCCAGGCCACAAGCAGGGAGCTTATTGGAAAGTAGGGCCACCAGTATTAGAACCAGTGCCCTATGGGATCCTGGCATGTTCACGGGGAGGACTTAGCAGCTAGGCTACTGTGCTGAGCCCCAGTTATATGTTTTTATGTCTGTGTTTGTGTGTGTATCTGTGTATGTGTTATTAAAAGAAAATACCTCCTGAGAATAAAGCAAAGTTTCATAAAGTCATACCTGAGAAATTTTAACTTCTCCACATTTTGCAAATATTTTAATGCATCCAATACTTTTGTCTAAGTGATGTTTAGCACCTCAGTACTACAAAATTAGAAACTCTAGCTTCCTAAGAGAAATCTTCAAGTTCTGCCTAAAAACTTTGCGATGGACAGATGTTCCCCCAGATATGCTTCATAAACTCCAACCTAACATGTTGTAAAAAGAAACAGAAAGAGATTCCTGGCTTGTCAGCCCAGGAAAAACCTTTTGTGGTTCTAATAACCCACATTTGCCAGATGAAGCTACATATGAAAAGCTCTATTCTATGCCTTGCACTTGGTGACCTCCTGGGACTGCTAAAAATCTACAGGTGAGCCACTTGCTCAATGCTTTCTTCCTTTAGCTTCCCACTATGGACTTTGTCTTTCATAATAAGCATCACTGAACCGACTGGCTACCAAAGGTCCTTACCCATACCTCTGGCTCCTTCCCCCTTCATGACATACTCCAATCTTCCCTTCCTTTAGCATTCATGATGACATGTCACTCACCTGCTCAAAAATCTTCATGTGCAAGATCTACAGGATTCGGTTCACCAAAACCTATCCCTATCGGCTCACCTGCTCTCCCTCCTCCTTCACATCACTCAAATACATGACACTCAATGTATCTACACATCTGTTATACTTACACATTTAAACAGATTTAGACTTTCAAATACACATGTATGGGGCCTGGCGGCATGGCCTAGCGGCTAAAGTTCTTGCCTTGAATGCCCCGGGATCCCATATGGGTGCTGGTTCTAATCCCGGCAGCTCCACTTCCCTTCCAGCTCCTTGCTTGTGGCCTGGGAAAGCAGTCGAGGACGGCCCAAAGCTTTGGGACCCTGCACCCATGCGGGAGACCCAGAAGAAGTCCCTGGATCCCGGCTTCTGATTGGCATAGCATCAGCCATTGCACTCACTTGAGGAGGGAACCATCGGACAGAAGATCTTCCTCTCAGTCTCTCCTCCTCTCTGTATATCTGACTTTCCAATAAATAAATAAATCTTTTTAAAAAAGCAGTCAAATGCACATGTATGCTCAAATATATGACAATCCACTCATAATCTTCTCAAATGAACATCACCATTTCCTGTCTCTGATGCTTGGCTCACACACTACTTCTCTTTTCTTCATTTCCCAGTATATAATTCTACAACCAGCTCAATAGTAGCCAGAACTCCAATTCAAATTATACTTTCTTCTGAAAGCCCTCTGCATTCACCTAAAGTGAAAGAAAGTGCTCCCTCCTATAAAGGTGGGGATTTCAAATTATGGTAGGGAGCCAGACCCTACCAAATACCCTGTAACTGCAACATGCAGTTGGGACACAGCAATTCCTCCTACCCCCGCCCCTGTTTTGTGTGTGTGTGTGTGTGTGTGTGTGTGTGTGTGTGTGTGTGTGTGTTTTGTCTAGGATAACCCTCCTTCTACAATGGCATTGTTAAGCACTTACAACTGAGACCATGTATTCACAATGCCTGAAATATTTACTATATGGTCTTTTATGGGAAAATTCTCGCTGACCCCTGCTAAATTAATACAACTAAAAAACAATGATAATTGCTACCATCTTTCAAATGAGTGCTGTGTGGCAGAGTCTCTGCCAATGTATTAAATATCTCAATGATATTTCACTGTAGAATTAATGCTGCTTATTTGAGTACTTCATGCTGTCTCCTCTAGGTCACCTCCTCTCAGCTACTGGGTTATTTCTCTATCCTTAGAAATGTATATATTATAAAACTAGCTATCAGACTAGTTATTATCCAGTTCCAAACACAGTGCCAGGCACATTGAGGGAATTTAATAACTATACTGAAAGAATCTTTTAGTTATTATTTGTCTTACATACTTTCTATACACATACATTCAAAAAGCTAACTTAAAACTGCACGTCTCATATTATAAATTTCTCAAATCATACAGCAAGATGCATTTCACACAGGACAGGCTTAAAAATAAATGTTTAATAAATATACACTGAAGAAAAACAAATTTTAAGTACCCTATTTGAAACACAGATTTAACAATATAGTTCTTGAACAATTCATGCATAGCTGAATATGACTAAAATATACAGCTGTAACTTGACTTTCTCCAAATAAAACACTTACCTTTGCATGATCGATACGACTACTTAGTTCTTTGGAAGCAAATCCTCCAAAAATGAGACTGTGAATGGCTCCTAGCCTGGCACAGGCCAGCATGGCATACATGGCTTGCGGGATCATGGGCATGTAGATCACCACAGTGTCACCTTTTTTGATGCCATGCTTGGCTAACACACCAGCCAGTTTAGAGACCTGTAATAAAATCAGTAAATCATCTAAGTGCTCTTGATGTTATTTCAGTAAACCTCTAGGTGAGGTGTGACATCTACAAGACAATCACCTCCTTGGATAAAAGAGGCCTGAAAAACACTCGATTTGAATTATGGAACTGGATGGCAACTTTCCTAAGAATTTCATGCCTTAAATTTGCTTAACCTTCCTTTCATAATGTATCTACTAGATGACTATAATGTATCACACATTGTGTACTGAGTGAAAACACAACATTAAAAACAAAGATGCACACTGGTTCTCTAATTTTCTAAACAGTAAATATGTCAAGTGAAAATAAGTGTTATAATATATGTATAAATATGTTTATATGTGTCTATGTATGTGTATACATGTTTAAGGAAACAAGACTATATGAAGAAAGAAAGCATATTGTGATAACATATGGAAAACAAAACGTCCTGTACAATGTTATCATGGGAGGTCAAAGATGTCATGGAAAAGTAGGAACCAGAGCAAAGCAAGTGAAAGCACCTTTTAGGAGACCAGAGTGCTATTCACGTCTCAGCTACTCTCCTGCTAAGCCACGCCGGAAGCCAGCAGACAATGGTTCAAATACATGCGTCCCTCCTTCCAACCACATGGTAGACCTGGATGCAGTTCCTGGCTCCTGGCTTCCTCCTGGCGCAGCATTCCCTCCTGTTTAAGCAAATGGGGGGAGGGGGGTGAAACAAACAAATGGGGAAATTCCTTTCTTCCTTCCTCTCTTCCTCATTCTGTGACCTTACAGCTCCAGCATATATATTTATAAACTAGATGACAGAAAATAAAATTTTAATGCAAAATATTTTAAATCTACACACGGTATTTTCATAACATACATTTCCAAGACTGAAGTATTCTCATTTTTAACATAATGTAACTAAAACTGAAAGCTAATCGGTGGTTAACACTCAATCATAGATACAGTACATGGTATACTTAGATAGCATCTCAAGACTTAGGGTCTTACATTCTTTGTTCTTTCCTTGTTTTAAGCCAATTATTGCTTCTTTATTGCTTTTTACACTTATTATTTATTGAACATGACTTCCTAAGCTCTTAAGTCAAAAATACGAAAATGTTTTCGTTTTCAGTAAGCACTTCAAAGAACAAAGCATGTTTCTTTCTTCATAATGTTTTATGAATGTTATGAATTTTTATTGACTAGATAGTTGAGATAGTAGTGATAAGTAGAGAGAAAAAGCTCACATCCACTGGTTTACTCGCCAAGTGCTTGCAACAGCAAGGCTAAAGCAGGGGACTTGGAATCCATCTTGTGGGTATCAGGAATTCAACTACTTGAGAGGCATCCACTGTCTGTCACAGTCTGCTTTACCAAAGAGTTGGAGTCTGAAGCCAAAGACAGGCAATACTCAGGTATTTCAAAACTGCAACTAGTTATTGCAAAAATTAGAGGGAAAATAAATGGAAGGAACAAAGCAAGTTAGGGGACTTAATGGAAAGAGGAAGGAAGAAAAGGATGGTTATCTTAGAACTTTAGGAAACACCTAAACCTGTTAACTTTATATTAATCAGATATTTTAAAAGTTAAAATAAAAAATGAGCCTACGTATTAAATTTAGGTTTGATATGCAAATCTAGATTGCTAGATTTTTCTTTAGACCTACAACACTGGATGCTGTGGTTTGTATCTGGTTTGTCCCTTAAGGAGCTCATGCTAAATGCAACTTGACTACCGTGTAGCACTGGGATCTGGAGGAGCGGGGACTACATTTCCTAAGAGGTGAATGCCTTTCTCTTCAGTAGGGACTTTCACTCTTGAGGGACTGGATTAGTTACTGCAAAAGCAGTTTGGAAGCAAAGCCATCCCTCATGTTTTATCTCCTTCATACGAACCACTTGCCCATTTGTTCATCCACTATCTTATAGCGCAGCAGTTGGGCTCTGTCAAATGTGACTGTGAACTTGTACCTCAGCTTCAAACTGGGAAATATATAACTTCTTCCTTTGGTAAATCACCTAGACTCAGACATTTTGCTATAACAGAAAAGTTAGATTCAAGACCATGTTCTTTCAATGTATGTGTTTATTATATATTATATAATGTAATATATATTAACAGAAACAAAACCATGCTCTTTTAATATATATTTTATATATTATATAAATTGCATATGTAGAAATTGTGTGTGTGTGTGTGTGTGTGTGTGTGTGTGTAGAAATTCATCTTCAATCTGGTAGTTCACTTCCCAATGGCCAGGACCAATGTTAGGAGCAAGGTGTGCACTCCAGGTCTCCCAAGTAAAGGCCAACTTTACCACTGCCTCACAGGGTACAAATTAGAAGGAAGCTGGAATTAAGAAACAGTTGGGTATGAAATACAGGTACTTTGCTGTGGGACAGCAGTCTTAACCTCTAGGCCAAATAACTGCCCTGAATCTGTATTGCTGGATGAAAAGAAATGATTGAATTTGATCAGCTCAATAGTTTTCCATAGAACTCACCATCACTGGGAACATTTGGATAAAGCTTGCCTTTTCTTTCCATACTAAGTTTAAAATATTTTTTCTACATGATGTATGCATTTTTATTGTAATTAATGTGTGCTTTTGATACATAACTATAGATTATGAAGTCTAAATTAACAACTGGCTCTTCTCCCATGCACTTAGTTCCCACATTCAAATACCTGCTTGAATTCTGCAGGTATTTGAATTGTCAACCCCAGCCTTCAATCAGACTAGGCTGCTTTAGCTGTGTGGAACCACTAGATGGAGCACATTTGGCCTTACTAGTTGTATCTGCTTTTCCTCAGTCCTTTGATAACATGGTAACCATGCTAACAGTCTGATTTTTGACATGAATAGTGGCACTGATTTTTCTTTCTCTAGTAACTTTCAGGGAATGTCATTCTGATATGAATTTTCACTGTAATTTGTAAGTCTAAATAAACACATGAATGAACCTTCTAACAACTAGGCTTAGGGTATCAGTTCACAGCAAGAAAAAAAAGAATGAACTTGAGAACACTTCAATATGTTTCTTGTTGATATTGTATTTGAATTACATAATATGGGAGCCCAAGAATAGGATACTTTGTATTCTTGCCTCCAACGCAAAGAAAACCATTCTGAGGATAACTATACACAATGAATAGAGCATTTGTGGGCTCATCCTGTTTTTTATCAACTACAAATGGAAAATTGTCAAGGAATATGAAAAATAGGTATGTATTTTATGTAATGAGATATTTGGGTCCTACCACAAAGGTCTAACGGAAAGGAAGAGTGACACAGGCAGAGTCAAGTATCTTCCAGCCATTGGTTCAGTCCTCAAAAAGCTGCATTGGTCAGGATGGGGTTAAGCCAACTCCATCCCAGTCTTCCACATATGTGGCAGGGTTCCAGGTATTTAGACCATCTTCCACTGATGTTTCAGCCACATTAGCAAGGAGCCAGATTGAAAGCAGAGTAGCTGGGACTTGAATTGCTACTCCAACATGGCATCTCAGCCAGCAGCTTAACCTGCTGTACAACAATGTAGGCCCAGATTTATAATTTCTATAATCCAAGGAGAACACATTTCAAAAATGTATCAAGTATAATCCATGTTTTTCAACTGAAGTAAAAGTTAAGTGAAAGGAATATTAATTGGGTAAGTAACCTATTTATTATGTTTTAATTTACCTATAATTTGGTAGTTTTAGCTCAAACTTGCATGCTTGGAGATTAAGCTATTGACTCTCTTTCTGATTTTCAGAACAGGTAAGAGTTCAGTTTTGGCGCAAGCACTCTGGCTGAAAATAGGCTAATCCTCCACTTGCAAGTGCCAGCAGCCCATAAATGCTCATTCATGTTGTGACTGCTCTACTTCCCATCCAGCTTCCTGCCTGTGGTCTGCAAGAGCAGTGGAGGATGGCCTGAGTCCTTGGGCCTCTGAACTCACATGGGAAACTCAGAGCAGGCTCCCAGTTCCCAGCTGTGGTTCGGTTCAGCTCTGGCTGTTGCAGGGATTGAACCAGTGGATGGAGGATCTTTCTCTGCTCTTTATCTCCCTTTCAAGTAAAAACGAATCTTTAAAAAAAAAGAGTTCTGTTTCAACTTGATGACATGGTCCTTCAGCCACAGCGACTACATTAAGATTTGGTTTCCTGGGCCTAATATGAGCTCAATCCAAATCAATGATCTATAACTTTTATTTAAATGTGTATAAATATTACTTGCCACTGTAAGCCACTTAATTGGAGTGTCCTAACACATTAACACATAGTGCAGTTTAAGAAGAATTCATGTGTAGGACACAGCATTGTTTGATTCTTCCCACTACAAATTTTGGAAAACTATCATTCCTTCCTACTTTGGTATCAATCTAAGGCCACTTAAATTACAAGTCATTAATCCAATGTTTGTAGTGTATACTTTGAGCCCTATACTAAACCAAATCTGAAAATACAAAGAAAATATAATTGGTCTTCAAACCATAGTCATTTGGGGTCCAGAGAGGGTGGAGGAATCACATATATGAATAATAACGATGAAGTTTTTGAAGTGACAATAGGTAAAATGGTCATACATGTCTGCTCAATATATAATATCCATGTGTATATTTACACATATATATATATATTATACACACACATACACATGCACGGTGCATTAGATAAAAGTAAATATTTGGGGACCGTGCCATGGCATAGCAGGTAAAGGCACAGCCTGAGGTGTCAGTATCTCATATGGGCACCAGTTCCAGTCCCAATCACTCCATTTCAGATACATTCCCTTGGATGAGAGCATGCCCATGAAAGTAGCAGAGGATGGCTCAGATGCTTGGGCCCTTGACCCATGTGGGAGAACCAGCAGAAGATCCTGGATCCTGGACTCAGACTAATTCAGCTACAGCCATTATGACCATTGGGAAATGAATCAGTAGACGGATCTCTCTCTTCAAATGAAATGAATTTGAGAAAAACGTAAAAATGAACTTTTCAAGTTATAAAATGAAAACACTGATATAAAAAA